ATTCGGGTCGCGACCAATTTGGGTCGCGACCAGAGTCATGGAACGAATTAAGTTCGTGAACTGAGGTACCACTGTATATTGAAAGTAAAAAGGAAACCTATGTTTATTAATTATAAACAATTCCTATGTATCACTGGAATTCTGATACGATCACTTGAAAAATGCAATGTTAGTTATTGATTTGGGGGTGAATAATGTTCATTCCACAAAAATCCAGAGCAAGGAAAGAAGAACATTGCTTGCTTACTAGAAAGAAAGAGGGGGTTTAACATGCATTTGTAAAATACAGTGAGAATATATGACAAACATTCTGTTAGCAAAGATGACAGATTTAGGAACTGTTGCAAATTTTGAGTTCTAGACTGGCAAGTGGCAACACTGAAACATTTGAGTTACTGTACATTGTAGAGATTCGAGAGGTATATGAGGTATTTATTCTTAAGATTGGCATTATTACGAACACATATTTAGTAAGTATTTTTTAATATCAGTAGTTTCCTTGCCAAACAATTATGTGCCTTTCTGAGTTACTTAATATTGTTTTGCTTCTTATTATTTCTTTTTTTCCAGATTGGGTTCTATAATGCGGTAGCCTTGCCATGCTACACTACACTCACACAGATCCTCCCTCCCACAGGACCACTACTTCGAGCATGCAGGTAAATATGAATTTGTCCTGAATAGTCAACTGAAAGTCATTAAATAGTCTTACTTCCACACAAGGAAGGATGTTAAATTATTATTCCTACTTATGAACTCTTTCAGAAGTGTAAAAAACTGCGAAGAGGGAGGTACTGTATATCAGATGCAATAATTTTAACTAGCTATTTGCTTTAAGAGAGAGCCTGCATAATTTCTTTAATTCTTTTCTGTCCTTATGTTAAGAATATATGCTGTTTAAAAGAAACCTGGAGGTGGAGGGATAACACAATAGAATAATTTCTATAATACAGTTAGGATTATGATATTGTGGAAAAGACACATCATTCATCAGGTGCATGAAAAGTTATTACTAAATAAGGATTAGTGAACCAGGTTAATCACTTCATTTTGATTTTTACTGCTAAGCCTTTTTAATTATTTTCTTTAAAATGTGATATGAAATATACCACCTTCAACCTAGACTAGAAGGAGTTTGGCTTATGTTAGAAGTGTTATGGGGTAGCCTTGAAACATTTTCTTGCTTTTTTTAAGCATTAAAAAATGCATAATTACCGTAAGAATATTTTTTCCTAGTTTACCTGTAACACGGATTTGTCACATGCCCGTTGCAAGAAACATACCAAAAGAAATTCTTCAATCTCTTTAGAGCTTGGTGCTCTAAATGTAGAGAGCTATATGCATACCAAGACTTTTTTAGGGTAAGACAAAAGAGGGAAAAAAGTGCATTGTGATTACCTTTTATAGTTTCTAACAGAAGTTGTCTTTCTACTACCATGGAATTTGGAGAAGGAGACTGACATTTTAGCTGCTCACTTTGTTTTGGCTACCAGCTGTCCCTCCTGGTATCCTGTTGCTCTTGTTTTTTTTTTCAACTTCTAAACCAAAAATGGTAGTGAATGCACTAACCCGCCTGCATAGTTCTATACAGAGGTCATAGGGGAGATCAAAGGGAAATGCAATGCAAACAGTGACATTGAAACTTAAATGTATGCAACATTAGTAGATGACTATTCACAAAGCAGTGTTGATGATATTTTCTGGCATTGGTAATTAAATTACCACACCCGGGGGATAAAGGCACACTTTTTCAACTTTATATTGAACATTCAGTAATTAATGATACAGTTGCCATTTAAAGTTCGCCCAGAATTGAAAGCCCAGATATAAGAGATCAACCGTCATGCCTGCCTCTGTGAAAGAGGAGCTGATATCAGAATGAATCATGACATCACTCTTTATAAAAGTTACTTTGATTCTTGTATACTGATATATCAATAAAATATCTGAAAAGTGAGTAATCTTATGTTTTTCCTTTCTCTCCAGGGAAAATCTCAAACAATGGGAAAAAGTGATACGAGGGGAAGAAGCTTATGGATGGATACCCTCCCAGTCCAGTAGTTCTGAACCAGACTCTATTCCTGTGAAGATTGATGACTGATCCACATTTATTTAAGGCTCCCACACTATTTTTAGCCCTTTAAAAGGATAAATCCTGCAAATACAAACTGGAAAGTCTGAATGCAAATTTCTTTTCCTTGGTGATACAGTGTGAACACAAGGTTGAGTGATAATTCAACTATCAAAGCAAAAGTTGGCTTGTAAATATAAGAGACTGGCTTTTTTATAGGCTATTTTGCTAAGGCCTTAATTTCAAAATGATTGGACTGGGAGGGCTAACCTAGAGTTGCTTTTAAATTGTGTCTTTGTGGTAAGGAGGTTTCACTGGTACTTTTACTTACTATTACACAATACTGTGATTGGCTTTAATACCAGGCTCACCTGGGGAAGTCTAGACTACAAATAGGACATTTCCACACTGATATGGTAAATGTTTTTGTTTGATCTTTGAGTTCCAGAAGAAAATCTCTGGGGCAGAAACTATCACTGAGTTTACAGTACTTGAATTTATCTTGCTGCAAATGGGAGGCTTAACTTCCAGATACTAGACTCCAAAAGTTATTTGATTAGCATCACAAAGCAACTACTTTATTGCACACATTAGACATTGGGAAGACTATATCAGTGTTTCTTTAGTGATTTTATAATTTAGGGAAAGTGTCCATTTCTACACTGGAAATAGTAGAATATTTACTTCTGGTTGTAAGTATCCTATCAGGTACCTGAAGACATTCTTTTCAACCCTAGTAACAGTAATGGGTTGAATTTCAAATGTGGTAGCAGAAATCTGTCAGGAAAAGCCAGTCATTTTTTAAACAAATATTAAAGATGGATGCCTCCAAATCCCAGCTAGTTTACAAAAAATAGGACCTTCCAGACATAGTCATAATCTCTAGAAGTCATAATGGTACTTACATGTTCTTAGTAGTTTCTGTGTTGCTCACTAGTACTGGGTGGGTTCTGCCTCTCCCTTTGAATCTCCATTTACCAGATAACCTTTAAAAAATTGTCTAGTCTTGTAAACTGTTGCCTGTGGAACAAGAAAGCTGATTTGTAAACCATTGCACTTACATACTGTGAATGAAGTCTGTATTGATTTTGGTCCCAATTCTGCACATAATTGCATTATATATTTCCGTATGTGTTAGGCTGTACACACTTTGAAAATGTGAGAAGGAAGGAAGGAAAGTTTTATACCTTAAATGAGCACAGCACCTCTGGTATTCATTTAAATAGTCTTTCTTTTTCAGGTTTCCATGTGAGTCTGAAAAAAGTTGTGGCTGCTTTAAAAGTTGCGTTAAGTTTAAGAAATTGGCTCCTTAAAGGGGCAATGTCTTTTTTCCCCCAGGCTCACACAAAACCCTGAAAAAAGTTAAGTTGCTTTAATGGACACCCAAAAGAAGCTGTGCTCCTGTGAGGTCCAAAAAGCTTCTTCCAAATCACTTTTGAAGCATGTACAGTCCTAATGTCTATACCTCTTTGCAGAACTGAATTTTACACCTAGTAGAAATATGTTAACCTTAATCTAGTTTTAGATGATGTATTGATAAGCCATGAGGTTTAATCCTAGCATCACTGACCTCAGTGTGAACACTTCTGTTGACTTGAATGGAAATCTTTTTTCTCTCTCTTTCTCTTTCTCTCTCAGTAGGAGAGCCTTCCTTCTGGACTAGGCTTCATTCATATACTTGATACAGCATTTAAATGAGTCTATCATATGGGCCTCTTCTGCAAAATCTGTATATACAATGCATATACATCACCATTATATACCCCATTCCGACATTATGTTCAAGATGCAGACATGTGCTGGAACCATGAGCTGTCATGCACCATGCAACAGTGCTCCAAACATAACTATCAAATGCTGAGAGAGTCAAATGAAGAAAGTATTGGAAAGCAAATAGCTAACTTTATAAACTGAGATATGGATCCTAAAATGGATTCTGGACAAATAATTCTTTGTTGCTTTTCCTGCTTTTCATGCATAAGATTACCATGGCTACCTCTCTGGAATATAATTGTATTTTAGCTGGTTAATTATGAATGATATTATACAAGTTATACTGTGCCAGTCCAATGTCATTTTAATTAATTATTTTATTGGTCAGGACCCAAAGAATTTTGGTGTAGGTTACAATTGAGCACATACAATAGAGAAGGGGAAACCTATATCCTTCCAGATCGTGCTGAACAACAGCTCCTGGCTGACTAGTTGCTCATGGTGATGAATGATGAGAGTAATGGTTTAGTAGCATCTGGGGAATGCTTATTTCCATTCCTGGAATATCGTTATTCATAAATGTGCACTATCTGGTTAGAAATACAATTGCACAAATATACTAGAGCTTTTGCTATATGTCTGATCTGGCAGGTATTTGAAAGATGTAGCTTCTTGAAAACATGCCTTCTCTGGCCTAATCTTCATGGTATTCAGCTTACTCATGTTCATTGTTGTGTAGATATTACTGTATGGCACAACCAAGGAAGTATTAACGAAAGCATACACCAAATATGAATGAATTTGGTTCATCTGAATAACTCTGTGTATGAACACATAATTCACACACACAATATGCAGGATATGTGTGTATATGTGTATCATAACACAACATAAAAAGTAGCTAGTAGAAAAGCGTTAAGGAAAAGTTTTTAAAGAATAGCTGACTTGGGGATGCTGGTTTGTAATATGATAGATTGGTCTGATTTATTCAGTGTACTGTCCTCTAGATATCCTAGAAGTTATATAGCATGTATAGTCACTATTCCCAGTCATTGCACAAGTGACTATATTTTAATAGTTATGAAAAATGGCTGGCCAGACATCAGATTGCCCTTAAACAATCAGCAGGGGTTCTTTAAAAATATTTGTTATTCAGAATGTGAACTAGCTTTAATTTATGACATTGATTATATCTAGCCCCTGTTAACCCCCTTTAGATATTTTCCAAACTTAACCATCAATGCTGTGATCCAGGGTCAGTTCATAGGACCATAGGATTGTAGCTTCAATTACCTTTAATATTTGTTTATTGCTCCACCTCAGTCTGCTTCATCAGAGTTGAAATATAAAAGTATGTCAAAAATATAATACTGCCAGGAATAAGTTTATGAATGTATTACATATCTAGTGAAGTACGTAGATCACTTTTTCTCCTGGACTTGGTTATATGAAAATACATTTGTTGTCCCAAGCCATTTTCTGAGTTCAAATTACAATTTAAGATACTTGTACATCTTTATTTGTTTAATTATCTGGATCATTTCAGGTAAATGAATGCTACAAGCTGGCAGTAATTTATAGGAGAAATATAAAAATGTAAGTTACAAATATTAATGTCTGTGTTGAAGAACAAAACAAAATAAATTATTTTCTCCTGTAGAATCTTGCACTAACCAAGCTTTGGTAGATGTGAGAATAATACATTTAATTTCTTTTAAAATACCATCACAATATTCTTGGTAATGAAATTGCTTCTTTTTTCTTTCTCTGGTCTCTAGATCAGATCTTCTTATAGGTTGATACTTTCAGTATGAATATAGAGAAAATCTGTTGAACTTCTACTTTTACATTTCTTTTATAGAATGAGAAAAGTTTTCTGAGAAACTACTCATGTATTATTTGTCCTTAAGATCCCATACACAGATTGGGAGTAGTTGTCCAACTTGTACCCTTTCCCACTCCTTGGTCATTGTTAGAAATAAACACCAAGACTAGTGCAATCTTACAAGAGTTCATCTTGAGTGGATTTCCAAAGGTTGAGTAAAATGTGATAAGGTTCTAAATAACATATCCATATTGGGCATTTATTTCACTGCTGCGTATCTTGAAATTTGCATTATCAAGGGTATAGCAGCTTAAAGTAGATCACAGAAACACTTTTGACTATGGTACCTTTATATTTATAAAGCATTGTAATATGCATAATATATCAAATATTGCTTGGTGGAAATTGCACTGGTGTAATTAAGTAACTTTTAAATGGGCAGCAATATTTTGTTGTAATTATGGTCTAGGTTGTACTCTGTAGAACTGCTAGAAGAGTACACTAGCATAATTTTTAAATAAGGGATGTAAAATATACAAATCAGTTGACACAAGGCATGCAGTGTGGAGCTCAGGGGAACAATGATTCTACATAGATTACATAACCAGAAATATTTCTCTTTTCTGGGTAGTATTAGCATGTATGAGTCATTTGTTCAGCCAGTGCTGAAACTATAAATAATATGTATGGCATTTTCTTTTGAAAAAATGCAGCAGGCCTGCAACAAATCATGCAGTTCTGATCATCCCGCAGAAATTTGAAATTATGATGTAATTCCCATGTTGTGTCATATGTATCAGATGAATGTATTTGTTCAAAGGACACAAATTTCCCTTAACTGTTACTTAGAATTTTGCATTATAATTTGATAGTCCAATCTGACACACACACATCACAATAATTTTCTTTTAAACGTTATGCTTGCTGACCAAAAACTGTGCTCAGTTATAATATGAGGGTATACTCAGTGCATGCATTCAAAACATTCATAATTAATGTGTTGTAAATTTGATCCATGTATACCCAAGTTGTACTGGGAACATACAACTTCAAGGCAACAATATCCACTATATCCAAGGAGTTGAGGAAAAGTGTGTGCGTGTGTGTGTGTGTGTGTGAATGATTGCTGAGAAATCTCTTTGTAAAAAGAAATACTCAAGTGCAATAATTTTAAGAGGTCTTAACTTTGCATTTATAAATTATAAATAATGTACCTGGTATGTATTTTTTCATGTATTCATTTGCAGTCTTTGTATTTTAAACAAACCCAAATCTTTATTATGTTTATATAATAGAGCATACAACCATTTATTATGATCTAAGTAAACTGTAAATAAATTTGCAAAAAAAACCCAACAGTCAGGATATATGCATATCTGGGGGTCCTATTGTGAAATTTATTTCTGCTTTAACAGCTGGCTGTGGTGCAGCAAGGTATCTTCTGTGGATATGTAATTATAAATATATGTACGATACATAAAATATTTAGAGCTGTTCATAATTTTAATTCAATATTTATCTATATATAAATATAGATAAAACACAAATGTTGTGAATATTATGGAATACAGATTTTTTTTAAAGAAAAGCCTTTCATAGTTTTCCTTATTGTTATTGACTGTTTCTAATACCAGTGCTAAATGCTCGCATGGGCCTCTGCGGGGAGGGCAAGGAGGGACAGTTTGGACATTCAGGTGTGCACACGTATATCTGCACGTGGGCTGGCATATGTACATGGCAAAAAAGAGCAGCTTTAAGAAGCAGGTAAGTGCTGCCATCAGGGGACAGCATACGCCTTTTATCTGGGGGTGATCAGAGTTTAACGAATGATATGGCTGCCAAGCTAGTCCTCATCAATTATGCCTTATGAGCTTAGGGAAGAAGGAAAAGAAAAATGAAGAAATAACACCACCACCACCACCACAAAATACTAGCTAGTTTGGACAGCTGCCTTCCCCATCTCAGCTGTTCCAACAGAGTTCCCCTGGAGTAGACTCTGCCAGTAGTTTGGGCATTCTTAACACTCAGGTGACCTTCCTTACCTTGTCTCTGTTTTGTCTCGTTCACTCATTAGTCCCTGTCTCTCCCCCTACCAGCTTCCAGTTTCCAATTAGGCCTCTGCTCTAGTCTCCTAAGACGATGTTTTCCCAGAGGTTTCTGGGAATCTGCATCCTAGGCTCATCTGTGGAATGGCTTCCTCCCTTAAGTTCTGACGAAGGGAAGTAGCATAGGGTATCAGGCAATGGCTTGACATCCTTTTCCTTGAGTGGATAATAAGTCAGTATTTACTTACCTAAACAGATAGAATGACCACAGGCGAGCAAAAAAGCAGTGGGAGCAGGAATGACTTCCAACCTCCTGCCAGCTTCCCCACTGACTTTCCGTGTGGAAAGCTGGCAGGGAGCATTGGAAATCATCATAATGTCACCATGGGGATGCTGCAATAGCCACAACTTTGCAAATAAAACAGGTCTGAACATCGTGGAAACTGCAGTTCCACGGGAGCAATGGGTCCTGGGTTTTTTATGCATTCTTTAAGTTAGCGGATTTTAGGTACCTTGATTCAAAAATTGTTGCGGTATAATGCACTGTTTGGGCTAACCTGAGGGTACAAATGGACAAACAGATAAACACAATATGAGTTTTAGTAGTATATAGATGTGTGAAGTAATTACATTCTGCACAGGGTATGCCTACACAAGTTTTATATTTTGTTACATTTTCCTGGGATCAAGTATTGCCGTAGGAGGACTCAGATTCATCCACTTTTGCCAAAATAGAAAATTATACAGTGGATCAATAATAGCAACAAGCATTTCTATGTCCTACAAATGTTTCTTGGTTAGTTTTGCCAAACAAGTGACGTGAGCAACTTGGGGATTTCTGTGGCAAGCCACAAACTTATTGTTGCTTTTTTAGCCATTTCTACAGCTGGATCCTTATGTCATTCACCTTGCCTGATGCACTCATCATCACGCTTGCTGAGTGATATAATCAGTTTCAGCAAGAGGATTCAGCGAAAAAATAAGCTGCATTTTTTAAATGCAATATTTCTTTGTGAAGGAAAGTTGCCGTGTAGAAATGTGCTATATAGGAACGCTTTGTTTTTCATGAGGCTTTGCCGTCCTGCAGTGTTGCTTAACAGCCACAAAGCAGAACTTGGAATGTTTGACTGGTTTCCTTGCCAACATATCAGGCTAAAAGCAGATATGCCAGAGACTTTATGGAGCTTGTGAAATGTAAGTTAGGGCTCAGTTTAAATAATCTCTGTTAACTTTTGTAGATTTGTAGATTACCTTGAGGGGAGGAAACGGATAGCTATTTCGCAGGACCAACAGGACCAATGCAAGAAAGGTGAAGTTACCAAACAGAATAGTAATTGTATTGTTTACTTGAAGCTGAAACTGTTAGCAGGAATCGAATTTGTTATTTTTCAGTGAAATGTAATGGATGAAAACCAAATCCAGTTTTTTGCTGCAGCTCTGAAATGATATAAAACAGAGAAATAAAATAATCTTGCCATTTGCTAAATGATAATAAGGAATTAATTGGTAAGATGGTTGTACTGAGGCTCCATCCGTTGTACAAGTACAACTCCATCCGTTGTACTGCCTGGAGCCATGGTAATTTCTGCTACTTGTAATGGCAAAAGCAATAATCCAAGCAAAAAATTCCTTGGGATTTTCATAGCGGTACATACAGCTAGGACATCAAAGGAGTGTCAACACAGGGATTCAGAAGAGAGATTCTGGATCAGATAGATTGTTCCATCAAAGGTGTCTTTTCAGCCTGCTCAGTTGGAGCTGAGGTAAATGTTTAAAAAGTTTTTAATGCTTTCAAAGCAGACATAGTATTCCTAGTGCTATAATGTTGTTCTGTCTTTAACTGGTTGAATTAATTGTAAATGTGGAGGGAGGTTTGTTAGATTCTGGAAATGACTGTTTTAAATCATGGTGTTTTACTTTGGAGGTCATTTTAGGGAGAGAAGGTTATACAAAGGAGGTGCATGAAAGTCTGAAGGGGCTTATGACTTATTTTTAATGTTATTCCTACTGTCTCTCATACACACAAAGCAAAAAAAACACAAAAACCTCTCACTACTGTAAATTGCCATTTAGCTGCTGAATGCAAATGATACTATGTGCACACGCTCTCTTTCCCTCCCTCTCTACATATACAAACACTTTTTACATGACATGACTAGAAGCATTGCAACAACTGTTAACAGATTGAAGCACAATTGGGAAGCCCACTTAACTGTTGGCATCCAAATGCCATCAACTCCAACCAGCATGGTCAGTAGCCAAGGATGATGGGAGATAATTTGAATAACACATAAATATTAAACCAGCAGGGACATTTTCAGATGGCTGTTTTGCATCAAGGTGTCTGAATGTTTCAAGTCACAGCTAACCTCATCATTCAGTGAAGTCAATCCTTCTGCTTACAGGCTGAATTAGCTGCAACTGAAGAATTCTGGTTACTCC